TCTTGCTTGCTTGCTTGCTTGCTCTCTCTCTCTTTCTCTCTCTTTTTTTCTCTCTCTCTTTCTTGCTCTCTCTCTCTTTCTTGCTTGCTCTCTCTCTCTCTCTCTTTCTTTCTTTCTTTCCACACACGCACACTGCTCCTTTCCTTTCGTCTCCCTTCTTTTCTTTCTGTCCTCTTCCTTTATGTAAACTGTGAGTGAATCCGCTAAAGGCTGATTGTTACTCAGTTTAAATTCTCCTATCTGTCTTTGGCAGCAGTTCTCATGGTGCTCTCGCTGAGACAGACAGACAGACTTTCCTTTTGTCTTGAGGGGCTCATTCTACGCCAACTGTGAAGGAATCCGCTCCAAGGCCAAGTTAAGATTGCCAGGTCTGGGTTGTAAAATACCTGGAGACTTTGGGGGTTTGGAGAGGGCGGGGTTTGGGGAGGGGAGGGGCCTCAGCATGGTGCAATGCCACAGAGTCCACCCTTCAAAGCAGCCGTTTTGTCCAGGGGAGCTGATCTCTGTCAGCGGGAGACCAGTTGTAAAAGCGGGAGGTTCCCAGGCCCCACCTGGAGACTGGCAACCTTAGGCCAATTGTCAGTCAACTTGACATTTGTTGGGGTTTTGAAAAATAAAACTTGTAATTCAGCAGAGATAAAATAGCTTAGCAATGCCAGAGTTAAATAATCCAGACCCAGAGTCCATGTGTGATTTAAAATAGAAAGTTTTTACTAAATTCTAGCATGGGGAAGGGTAACTGGGATGAAAATAACAACAGAGCTAAACGGCTACATCTTTACACTACGACGGCTAGACTAGAAGGGAGCGATAATGGCTCCTCTTGCTTCTTGTTCAGAAACGGCCCACAAAGACGGGAACAGAAGCCATAACATGTTAAAACACTTGGACACTTCGCTTCCAATGAAAATCCCAGATCAGGAAGAATTTTCCCGGGCTCCTAGCATCTAACAAGCATTGGCTAAATGAAACACATGTGACTTCCTGTGACAACACAAACAGACATTTAACCCCATATATACTGAGTGTTTTTTTAAAAAAATATTTTTTTATTGTTCGTTTAAATTGTTACATTGAGTGTTTATATTTATTTACATTTTCTCCCCTCCCTCCCTCCCTCCCTCCCTCTTTTTTAGTCATAGTCTCTTCCCCACAGCCAAGGGCACAGAGTCTCAATCTTCCACTGAATGTCTTCCTTCCTTCTTTCATTCCGCATCCAGTCTAGATAGATCTTCCACCTGGTCTTGATTTCTGTGGATTTTTCTTCCCATATTATTCCCTTGTTGATTGTTTCCAGGATGTCTGACTGTATAAAATCAAACAAATAGTTGTGCCAGATTTCTATTGTCCATTTCCTTTTGTCTTTCCAACCCAGAGCGATAACTGCCTTTCCTGCCAGTATCATAGCCTTAACTAGATTTTGAGTTTTCTTATCCAACAAGGGGCTTGCTATTGTGCTTAACAGCATTAACCAATTTGTTGGAGTGTCTTATGAAAAATTGCGATTCAGCAGAGAAAAAACAGCTTAGCAATGCCAGAGTGCAATAATCAGACTCAGAGTCCATGTGTGTGTTTAAAAATATAAAAGTTTTTACTACATTCTAGCACAGGGAAAGGTAACTGGGAGGAAAATAACAACAGAGCTAATCCCTACATCTTCACTCTACAAAGGACGAGACTTGAAGAGCTGCAATGGCCACTCTTACACGTTTCTTGCTGAAACAGAACAAAGAGGGGAAGAGG